CATCTTCCGCCGAATCACTATACATAACTTTATTTCCCCCAAACATATTTATGTAGCTAAAATTAGTTTTAACTAATGTTAAAAGTTAAAACTGGTTTTATCTAAAATCAAAACATATACAGCAGTAAATTAACTAGACAAAACCCGTTTTGTCCAGTAAAAACTAGAATTTACTGCTAGTCAAAAATGAATTTGAGTTAAAACTAGTTTTAACTAGACAAAACGGGTTTTAACAAAGACATTTAGTATAAACTAGTTTCAACTAGTTAAAACGCGTTCTAACTAAAAACGGGTTTTGACTGTAACATATATACGTACAGTCGTAATAAAAAGTAATGACAACGATTTTCAAATTATTTTTAAAAAATACAAAATAAAACGACTTTTGACGACTCCGACTTCGCTTAAATTACCATAAATCTCCGACTCCACGACCCTTGTTAAAATCATAAGAGTGCATAAAGACTAGAAACGGACAGACAGTGCCCCCCATTCCTTTACTTTGTACCGCCACATATTCGGCCGAGAATCCAATATAGTGAGGATGTTTCGAATGTAATCGTATGAAACGTATATTAACTGAATTAATTTCGATAGGAGTTATTTCAGTTAATGGAATAGTTCAGATAATTATACATAAACGAAATCATTCTAATTTACAGCAAAGTCACATTTAAGTTTGTAATTAAGCTCTTTTGTACAAAGTTTCTAATCATTTATTTTGAAAAATAATGATTATATTATTTTGAATTTTGGCTCGGATGTCAGATTGAACCTCTAATGATTACTGTGATTAAGGTCCAGATACTTTGACATTATGTAATAAGTAAATAATTTTATGGTCTATCATGAACACGCAAGATGTTAAAGTCAATGACATGTTCTTTTGGAGATTATTTATTTATTTATACATTTTGTTGATAGTATATGAGATTATCGTCTTCCACTAACAAAAATTCAGCAAAGAGTTGCGCAACTTTCCCGGCTGTAATGAGATTTTATTTAATTAGTTTCAATGTTCTGTGTTTATCTTTTTCGAATCTTCAAATGTTTCAGTAGCTCAAAAATATTAGAATTAAAATATATTTAGATAAGTCCATTTCAGTTTGAAAAAAAAAATTTTTTTAGATCGACAACTGTTACAAAGTTCATCAAGATGTGCAGAAAGAAAATATTTGGAGAAAACTACATTTGCGTTGGACTGAATCCTTTAAGAAACGGGCTTCTGTCACTAAATGTGAACCCTGTAATAACGACTCTTTGGATTTGAAACTGAATGCTTTATATAGTCATCATCATCAATGGCTCGAAACAACCGCTGGAATAATGTTACAACCAAATACCTTGGAACACAAAAATGGGTATAAAAGTTTTTAATTACATTATTTCATTTATATCCATTTATAGATATTAAATATCATTTCAATCAAATTTCAGTTTGTGCAAAGAATCTAATAAGAAGAATAATCAAATGAAGAAAGATAAAGGAATGGTTAATTATGGTATCCGAAATTATCCAATATATATAGCCACTTTGACCGAAAGAAGAAAAAATATAAATACGAATAAAAGCATGGCAATAGGTTCGATGAATTATACAATATATATTACGCTTTATTCAGTAATAATGATTTTATAATTAAAGTTTCTTTTTTATAGAAAGCTCACACATATCTCAAACAAAAAATGGATACGACAGAAACAAACACGGAGGATTTTTCGATAAATAAACTATTAAATTACAACGAAAATTATACTAAATATTTACCTAAATTATATAATCTATAAACAATAATTAAACCATAAAATATGATAAAGTTGAATAATTTACAAATTTATACTATAATTAAATATATACAGAGTGGGGCAGAAAGGACTGACGTTTTTTTTAAAAAATCACATCCGTAATTGTTACTTCAAAAGATATTTGTTGGAAGATGTGAGTTCGTATCGAAATAGCATTTTACAGAATCAAGAATGGAAAACAACCCATATGGTGTCGGTTATCAGTAATGCATTTCTGGAAGCGATTTTGGCGACTTCCACGCGAATAGCTTCCTTCAGTTATTGCAAAGAACGGGTTTATGCTCATATACACGTGCCTTGAGGTGTTCCCACAAGAAATAATCGCACATGGATAGGTGGGACGAACGAGGAGGACAATGAATGTTACTGAACTTGAAAATGAAGCAACCAGGGAAAAGAGGACGAATAACGTCAATTGATGCTCTAGCTGTGTGGGCAGTCTCCCCATCCTGTTGAAACCACACAAGTCTGATGAGAATACGTTTCCATTGTATGTAAAGATGCGGAAACGTATTCTCATCAGATGTATATGACTGAGCCATGTTTTCTCGGGTGAACTCAGGACCTTTTTGAAATTTTTAATAGTATTACAAATTAATTCTTTAGCTGTTTTCGGTTTCTCTAAAACGTGTTCCAGACAAGTTCTTGGTTTCCTTAAGTATAAAAGTTATACTGTTTCTACTTAGTAATTAATGGGCCCGCCAGTGACTAGTGGATAAAACCACTGAACACTGATAGATCGGCGCGAACCAACGACTTATCCACGTGTTTCCGGGTTTTCTTAACATGTCTAACCATAGATAGGATCAGTTTCGTATAGAAAGTCATCCCTAGAGGCATCTATCCTTGTAAGATTGCCAAGTATTGCGTTGACTTATAAAATTTTATCCATCTTAGTAATTAACATCAACTAGTAATTAACATAGATCTGAAGAACAGATTAGATTTCATTGAAAAAATTTCAGCATTTTGTTGCTTAGATATAATCATTTGCTCTATTACGAGAGGAAATGAACCTTTGAAACAACATATGCACCTGAACTCAGTGAAGATTCATGGGAACTTTATCGGACAACCATTTGGCTAACCTCAGATAACAGAAAGTTGAAAGAATATGTCTAGAATTTAAAAAATTCATCTACAGACTTTCTTATCATTAAAATAATAACAATTGGAATAATTTATCATTAACATATTTTGATAAAAATGAGATAAGTTTTCCGTTGCTAAGATAAATGCTGAATTTTTCAATATACAGGGTGATTCAAAAGTCACAGACATTTTCAAAAAAATAATAACACAAACTATTTACAATAATATGATGCGGTTTTCACAGAAATGCTTAGAAAGAAACGGGATTTTTTTAGATGTAATAAAAATTTTAGTACCAAAATAGTTACATTTTTTGCCATAAATGGCGCTGTAAAAAACTGAAATTATTTGTAAATTTGTTAAAGTAAGATTAAAAAATAAATAAAAATGTTCTTATTATAAGCTCTAGTAACAACTTCACAAATTATGTAATCTTATCAACTGCCATCTATGGCAAGAAATGTAACTATTTTGGTACTAAAATTTTTATTACACCTAAAAAAATCCCGTTTCTTTCATGTTTTGTGACTGGATGCAATGTGGATATGCCACATGTTTAGAGAATTTTATTTAGAATTATAGAGAATGTTTAGAGATGTTTATTTAAAGAATCTAAAGATCTGGAATTATTACTAGTGCAGAATGATTCCTAGAGAAAATAGACTTTAGACTACAAATCAAGAGATTTCGTTTGCAAAAGACATTTCGCACCCCACTTTGTTACTAAACAATGGAATGCTATTAACAGAAGTATGTGGAATTTTCTGGGAATAAATGCGATCTTAGGTAAACTTAAAAATTTTATGGTAATTTGTTTATCGAAGCAGTTTTACATAGTTTTGTGATGTTTTGTTTTAGGTGATGCTAAACTTATTTTATGAGTCGTTCAGATGACAACAGAAGAATTTTCATATTTTCTGACACTCCTCATCTCATAAAAATTGTCGGTAATCGGCTTTTTAATGGACATAATTCACATTTAGTTTAATTTTTTATAAACAATAAAATGCTACATTTTTAACAGTAACTTATATATTTACTTATTTATTTATTTAGCTTTGAATGATGAATTTCATAAATGAGAACATTATCAAGTTTTGTTTGCCTGGATTGCAAAGCAAGACGTTTAAAAGTTTGTCCTAATCTAATTCCTAATCATATTTATCCAAACACTTTTCAAAAAATGAAAGTGAAATTGGCTACCCAAGTATGTTTCTATAGAATACATATACAATGGATAATAGTATTTACGATTTATCTTAAAAATTAGATGATGAACCAAACTTGGTTTAGGTAAATTTTAGATTTATAAAAATACTTCAATTTGTCTTATAGGTATTTAACAAGTTAATTGCAGATAGACTGAAGTTTTATGCTCACAGGAATAACATCAATATTACTGATGTAAATCTAACAATCAGATTCACAAAACGTATAAATGATCGTTTTGATGCTCTTAATAGACGATTTCCTTCTGAAGATGTGAGAAAAGAATCAAATGATCTACAAGTATGGGTGAAAATACTGTATTTCCATACTTTTTTACTTTTATGCTTTTTGTGACTTTTGTAGTTTTCTTTTAATAATTTAACAAAATTGGTTATTTCTTAAAGACAACTTAAAGACAACCTCAAGTGGCTAAACAGTGTTAAAAACAGGCATATTCTACCAAAAGAGTTTTTAACTCTCCAAACAGCTGGGGGCTGTAAGTTACTTTATGTCAGCTACAGATCTGATTCAATTTGATACAAATCTGATTTCTATATGACTGCAATTACACTTATGTTTTAACAGGGAAAATTAAACAAGATCCTTTTGAGGTAAGCATATAAGCTAAATTAAAGAATTTTCATCAATTCGATAATTTTTTTTTATATATTAACGCTTCTTTAGTACAATTCGTCAAGCTAGTGGGGAAATGATCATCCAGCAGTACTAACATTTATACACCTTTAATAACTGCTGATGATTTACTCTTTGATAAAATCATTCATATATGGAAATTGCACTATTAATTAATGAACAATAACCAATTTTGGATTTGATAGATTTCCAGCCTTTGACAACAGAAACCTCAAATTCAATAAAAGCCACTCACATTAATAACATTTAAAAAGGCTGGACACTCTTTTAATTCAGTCACTTCCAGAATGTGTTGCTGTTTTTGAACATGATTACAGCAAAGCAGAAGTACGAGACTGCATTACAGTATTTACTCTGTCTGTGGTTTTATCTTTAGACATTTTCTAAAGAAAACTCTATCAAGTTAGCATCGAGGCATTTTCTACATGCAGTAATTCTTTTCCAGTTTAAAAGAAGCTGAACTTGTTAATGTGAAAAATAGAAACGGATTAATTTATTCAAAAAATATCGATTTGGCTACAAATACAAAATTGTGAAGACTACTTTGAAAAACATTATAAAGTATCTGTTTATGAAAAGTGCATAAAACAGGTTTTATGTAACAAGGCATTGAAATTTCTATGTAAAGAACATGCAGAAGAGATGCTAGGTTACATAATTTATTATTATATTCTATTAAGAATAATGCCAATATGCAAAACAAAAGAATTATTTGCTTGGATTGGAAAGCAAGAAAAAGAAAACATTTTCAAAGATGTTTTCAGAGTAAGTTTTATTGTATTATAATTATAAATGAATAAATGATTAAAAACAGAAAATGTCTAATCTCTAATTACTCTATATCTCTGCAAAATTCTCATTTACTTTATGATTATGTTTATAGTATATTAAAATGAAACTACTACTTACAAGTTAGACAACTATATTTCAATAGGAAAATCCCCAACGTTACTAGTGGTTTTATTGCATTGTTATTAGAGCATCCTCATCTTTCTTTCTTACACCGTGTTTACAATATAACTCAAAGCTTTCATAAAGTATTTTATATGAAACTTTTATTCATATAAATTAATTGCACCGGTATTAATTAATAAATCGAAATTATTTTGTAAGAATTTAACATAATTTTAATGAATTTATTAAAAAAATATATTTTGCAGAAGCTTCTAATTTTTTATTTAGAAAATTAATAACCAACGTTTTTAATGCTAAAAAAATAAAGGAAGAAAAAAAATAAACTATTCTAGGGAGTGATAAAATGAGTGCATTTTTAAAAAATTAAGACTTTAAAAGAAACATAAATAATTTTAATGTTTTAAATAATTTTTTATTTTTAAATAAAAATTAATTCGTGCAATTTAAGATCATATTAAACATAATTTTTTGTTGTTTATTCGGAATTGTGACCTTGCAATTTTGAAAAAAGGCTCAACACGTCCTTTTTCTGAATTTACTTATATTTATGAAGGTCTAATTTATATTTAGAAGTCGAGTTACATATCATTTTTATACACAACTTGCATGTGACGTATTGGAGTCCCGGATGTACTGTACATGATTGCGTATATGCGTATTGCTCGGCTCCACATTTGTGACATTTTTGTTCTGTTATAACATCACATGATACATGACAGATTAATCAAACTTTAGTAAACTTTGAGTGGAACACAGTCAACTTGCGACAGAGAGTGGGCGGTGGTCAACTGGCTATCGCCAAGTAGACACCGGACATCCTGGCAACAAAATAATAGATCAATGATAGACAAAATATAAAGTTTTCTTTATTAAAATCACCATTCTTTCCTATTGATCTATTAACCCAGTAAATGACCCATTAAACTTAAATAATATTTTATTTACTTTAAATACAATAGGAAAAATCTGATTAAGACTAAATATTTCCACTCCAAGTAGCAGTNCGCCAGCATCCAATCTCAGCCATCACATTAATTGCTTGGAGGTCCGGCCCCCAGTCAGTAAACTTAATCCTAATTTGGCCCTTCTTCACAAAAGGTTGTGCATCCCTGCTTTAAAGAATTTTTTGTCTACATAAGAAAAATGTTTCAAAACTTAAGTAATATTTTATTGTTAATTGTCTACTTGGACTTTACTTATTAATAGGACTTTATACTGGTGTATAAAGATCGGCTCAGTACTGAAACTTAAATAATATTTTATTTACTTTAAATACAATAGGAAAAATCTGATTAAGACTAAATATTTCCACTCCAAGTAGCAGTAAAACCCGTAGCAAACTTACAAAAAGTAAAAAAAAACATTCACATCATTATAAAAAAACATTAAAAACAATCCCGTAAATGAAATTAAATTAGGTAAATGTTGTAAAGTATGCGTTTACAGGTATTTTTGAATTGTGTAAGATTTTCAGAAGTAGGATAGATATTCCATATAGATTATTCATATTTTGTAAAGTAAGTAGAAATAAGAGCTTTGCGAAACAAATCATCTAAAAAAATCCAGCAACGAGTTGCTTAACTTTCCAGGCAACACTTAAAACTGCGTGTGTGGCACCATCTGTTATGACATTTTATTTTAAAAAACTTTTTATATTTTTAATTATTATAAAATGGCAAAAAGCTTAATTTTCAGGGTAGAGATAGGTTTTATAAAAAATTGTAAATGCTAATTCAAAGTCCAAATTTCAAATTCAATTTTAAAGTCCAAAATTGTAAAAATTTGGGATGATTTTTTTTATTTATCGTTATATTTTCCCTTTGTTATATATAGCAGCCAGGAAAGTAAAAAGGTGTAAAAATACATTAAGAATTAAACAAGTTCCTCTTTGGTGTTTTTAGGCGGATCCAATAAGACTGTATATAACTGTATATGTATGTATTATATCATTAAAATATTAATGATATAATGTATCAAACTATTTAATGCGTTCTTTAAAAGAGAAAAGATCCTGTCTGGACCTGACGAAATTCGGAGGGTAATGTAACAGGAACAATATATATATATATATATATATATATACTAGCTGTTACCCGCGGCTTCGCTCGCGCTGATTTTGCAAGCAAATCCTACTTACATTTAATATTTCAACAACCATAGTACTGTAATTGTTATTTAACACCTACCGCTGAGAATGATAATTGCTGAGAATCAAACGAAACTGTTTTTTATTTGATCAATTTTCTGGAACGTTTACAATCGTTCTATATACAAATCAATATGCAAAAAGAAATTCGAATATAAAACGGTTCGAACATTTGGTTAAAATATCGAAATACAGTATATAAAAAATATTTATAACAATGTCTGAAATGTTATCAATTTAATACCCCTAAGTACTCAATGAAGACTAAACGTAATTAAAAACAAAAATCGCATCTAAAATAGTACAATAGAAGCCGTTCTTCAGGTTAAGCCTTAATGCTCTCTCTCTCTCCCCCTCGTGGGGGAATTTCGAAAAATCTCTTCTTAGTGTGCGTTTTCATGACTTACCCTACTAAAACGCAATTTAAAACAAAAAATCGCATGTAAAATAGTATAGTAGAAGCCTTTCTTTATATTAAGCCTTAATGCTTTCCCTCTCCCCTCGCAGGGGAACTTCGAAAAATCCCTTTTTAGCGTGCGTTTTCATGACGTACCCTAACTATGTACCAAATTTCACCTGTAGGTTCTGGAACTTTCTAGAAAAAACTGGAACATTCTCATTGAAGCATCACACATTTTCGAAGTCAACCACTTTCAAACCCCATATCTCTCACACCCTTATAGCTACCGAGACGCAACCACCATAGTGCACGATGGGAGACTTGGGGCTAATATCACATACAAACACCATTCATGTGCGATGTGTAGTTTTGGCTGCAGAGTGACGTATAGGTACAGTACAAACACGTCCATATATAGCAGACCCCGCCACGCGTTGTTGTGGCTCAAAATGTATCTATTATAAATGTATAACACTTCCCCCGTGGGGGGAAATTTTTCGAAAAATTTTTTCTTAGTATACATTCTCTTGACGTACCCTATTAAAACGCAATCAAAAACGCAAAAACCCGCGTCTAAAATAGTATAATAGAAGCAAAGTTCTTCACGGTAAGCCTTAATCCTATTCATCTCCCCCCAATGGGGGGAATTTCGACATGTATATTATATAAAAACACGTACGTATTCGAATGCAGCGTTGTGTCAAAATTTCAAAGGAATCGGTAGGAACAAACGAACATTACATTTTTATTTATATAGATAGATAGAACATGATCTGTTTTAGTTCATTTTCACAGAAAAGCGTAACGCCTCACAGAAAAGCAAACTTAGGTCGTCGTACTCGTAGCGCCATCTGTTGGACATAAAAGCCTTAACCATAGATGATATCTTTTAATTTATATGAATGTTTAACGGAATAATATATAGCCTATATCCACCCTGAGGTTCCATTCTAAATACTGGTGAAAGAATTTTTGAAATCGAATAAGTAGTTTCGGAGATTACCCGCTACATCCAAACTTAATTACTTCTTACTTACTTACAAACATTACCTCTTACATTACATCTTACTTACATTACAAACATTACAAACAGTCTAATAAATTTAAAGTCTAAAATCATGAAAGTGACAGTTAGTAAAATTATAAATATTAACGATATTTACGAATAAACAATGTTCAAAACCAAAATAAATAGTATTTATGTGAGGGGCCGAAAGATGAAAAGAAATTTCAAAACGAAATAACGATAATATGCGATATATCATTGCATCTCCATTGCGTCTGGACTGTCCAGCGGTAATAATCAACATGTGGGAGCGGTTGAGTCAGAGATCAATGTCTCGTTTATAAACAGCACAACCCGTTTATTAGACACTTACAAGTTAGTTAATTTACAATAAAAGTCAATAGTACTTTTCACGAAGGGTTGAAGTTCCTGTCGATTTCGGCGCGTAGTTTTCAAAAAAAGAAGAAAGTTCGGCGATGAAGGTGGTTTCCATTCGCTGATCGAATGTTGCATTCTAAGTCCAGTTCTCGAACAGGATACGATGTCCGGTGAATGCAGATCGAAATTTCCGAAGTTTCTCTCAACGAAGGTCTATAACTTTCAGGGCTGTGGAGTCGCGTAAAAATCTACCGACTCCAACTCCGACTCCGACTTTTCCTTACCATCCGACTCCGACTCCGACTCCGACTAGGGGCAGACTTGTTACCGAAAGAGACCCGGAAATTCTGATGTCATTATGTGACTTCAGAATAAAAGATTCAATAAATAGAGTTGTAATAAAGATAGAGCGTAGAAACTTTTTATTCCAAAGCTAAAAGACTTCTCTAAGTAATATTATATATATTCTCTAAGTAATAAATATATACCGGATAATTTTTACTTTTCCGGCTGTTATATATAACAGAGGAAAAGTGTAGCGCTCGGTCAAAAAATTACCCCTCCCAAATTTTTACATTTTTGGACTCGGGACACCTTGAAATTTCGACATATGCAAAAGATTCGAGGTTTTTTTCTATATGTGTGGATGTTATACTGTGTGTTGGGGGCATGATTTCGTTCACCCTGTTTGAAGCCTAATAATTTCTGTGGTCAGAGTGGTCAGAATCGGAGTCAGATGGTTTAACACAGGAGTTAGTTATTTAAGTCAAAGTGGTTGAACTAAATCATGTCCCCATATACATTCTAACATCTTAAGCGAGAACATCTTAATTAACTGGTTTTACTGTACTATTATAAAATGGCAAAAAAAGCTTACTTTGAGGGGTAAAGATGAGTTTTATTTTATTTTATTTTATTTTTAATTTTGAACGCTAATAACAAGTAAAATATTCATTAAGAGATATGACACATGACCACTTTTATGTCTTCACCCTGTCGACCTTTAATTAAGAACCAAAATTTAATAGTATTAATGCCCCTTTATACGCAAGCTACAGTGCCACATTTCGTTTCTTAAACTTTACCCATTCTGAGATATTGTTTAATATCTCAGAACAGAAAATAAAGAAATTAAACAAATTAGACGCCAACACACACGCGCGCGCGAATTTTTCCCCTTTATTGACTTTTTGAGGGGTTCGGGAGGTCTCCAAAGTGTAGATTTGCAAAGCAAAAAAAAACTTGGAGGGTCAAATTTGACACGCTTCCAATACTTTTCCGTTTTATATACATAACAAGTTTGTAAGTAAAAAGGAGTCGGAGTCGGCGGATTTTTTGACGACTCCGACTCCGACTCCGACTCCGAATAAAACATCAAAACTCTACGACTCCGACTCCGACTCCACAGCCCTGATAACTTTCGAAGAATACATCGTCAAAGGACGAAGAAAGAAGCTTGTGGAAACATCCCAGCGAAGGACATAGTCTCGCGGGACGCGGGCAAAGAACCGAGTGTCCTTGTGGCAGTAGCGTAGCGTAGTGGGGCGGCATTTTTAGGGGGCGGCAAAATTTCAGAATAAATAATAATAATATCTTGTAAAAATTTGAACCATTTCATTTCATATTTTTGTCGCACCTACTATTCGGACCGATTGAAATGAGCACAGAATTTTTCATTACTTATTCTGTGACGAAACTGAATTTTAGTCTTTTAATTAAACTGAGATACCTAAATAAAGATGCGGCGAAATTTTCCTCCGCCCCGGGAGGCTGACACCCACGCTATGCTACTGCCTTGTAGCCTGGGCTTAAATATCTTGTGGTCTCTCAAATCGTTACGTTATTGGTTATTAATCCCATTTCTCGATCCCCGATTAGTCTTTCTCTGTTATCGTGTGAAATTGGACCAGATCGGTTCAGGAGAAAGACAATTGTTTATTAATTAATACAATTCGACACCGTCTTTCGTTCGGTGTTGAACGAACCTTGTACCTTAACTAACACTTCCATTTTTGTTGGTCTTATAAAAAAATTTAATTTACTAACTTTTCTCCCATTTTTACCGCGAGGTTTTAATTTTATTTTCCCCCTTTTCCTTTATAATACAGTTCCCTTAATATTTTTATAATTAATCGAAAAAATCAAGATTCGTTTTCGTTTTGATATATGGTTAAAAGAATGTTTTTCATCCCAGCCAGGGCCTCACATTTATAAGTAGACATTTCAAAAAACTGACTACTGTATTGTAATATCTGAGTTAAAAACAAGAAAATTTCATAATTTAAAAAAATTTCAAATGTTTACAGCTGGCTTTCCTTAGGCTCAAGCGAAATTTACGCCACACTTACAGTCGACCCCCTATAACGCGGTAGATACGTTCCACTTTATAAGAATTTCGCGTTGTAGGAATCCTTAAATACACGAGCCAATCACAGCCCGGCACGTGTGCAGTTTACGGACTAAGGCTGTTTGAAAGGTTTTCTTCCATAAAATTAATCGATTCTAGACTAATTTGACTCAACATTTCCAAAACACGTATAATTTTTTGAGAATAATCCGTATAAACTATGCTATAAACAAAAAAATTGTAGGATTACTTATCGAGTGTGCACCGTTCGACGACGCCATTGGTTAAGCTTGTTTTCGTCGCGGAGCAGCGCACCAAACGGCGGCCGCGTTTTCTAAGTTATTTTTCTGAGAAAAATTTGTTGAACTTTGGAGACATCATTAATAGAAATAATTTTTATCGCCGTTGAATAAGAAATGTTTCTTTCACAAGAAATGTATAAAATTACAGTATTGTATTAGACTTACAGTACCTAATTTATATACTGTATAGACGAAAGTAAACTCAACTTACCCACCTAAACTCTCCGTAGTGTGTAAGTAGTTCGCTGCTCATCCATTATTGGTCCAGATTCGACCAATTCTGTCGCGACACGAGTCGGCGATGACGTTTTACCACATTTTACGAGTCTCTTTTAGCGTCTTTATACGAATAAGGTCGCAATTTTTTCGCCGCGATATACGAATCCGCATTATATGAACCCGCGTTAAGGGGGTTCGGCTGTATAGCGCTCAAAGTGGCAGAAATATTTATTACCCACTTGTTTTCTATCGTCGCAATTAATCGTCCCATGATTAATTACGGCGATAGTTTGGTTTATTATTTATCACGCCACTTTCATAACATTACAGCTATTGATAGCTTAGACCAGTTGGCCCGATGGCCGAGTAGGCAAGGTGGCAGCCTACCGCTCTGGGGGACCCGGGCTCGAATCCGAACGGGTCGTCAAAAAATCCCCAGGAATTTTTCGGGGGGTGGTCCGTTCGGATATGTCGGGCCCCGTCCCTCACCCCCGCAGCCCCATTGTGGGCCTGGCCGAACCCATAATGGGCTTGCAAAAAGAGGCCCTCTTAATGTTCACAGGGCGGAAAGAGTTAACAACAAAAAAAAAAGCTGAGACCAGTATATCTATCGACTCTGATATTATGTAGTAATCTTGCTAAAAAGTTCCTCTTAGTCAACAAACGAACCTGTATTATCGTATTTCATATAAGTTCCAAAAATAATATATTCATCCATTTATTAATTATCATCTATTTTTGTATTCGCTATTTTATATAATTTTTTTTTTTTCAGAAGTTACGATGAGAATGATGAATTATTTATACATAAATATAAAGTTGGCAACACGTTATTAGATGATATTTATCCCATATATTTCCCGCCTGTTCTTTAGCACGTGGCTTGATGTTAATGCGTTTCTATGGTAAGTATATCATTGAATTCGTTTCTGTAATGGAGTTATCTGTAAAGAAATTCGGAAACAAATGCATCTCTGACACGGTTGGGATTTTATCAGAGTTGTAAAGCTCAACTTTATTAGATAATGGATAATTATATCTGTCCTCAACGGTTTCCTTATTGACATTATATTTGTGCTCCTTTAGCCTGATTCCCAAATTTCTTGTAGTAACACCAATATAGTTTTTCTTGATTCCTAATTCCATGTTTTTGTAAGGAATTCTGGGTTAAATTTCAGATGCGTATACTGTCATGGCGGTGGTCGTTACTGTTCGTTCTCCCGACGGACTTGAATTGATACATACTAGTTATTGATACGTGTGTTCAAGAACTACCGCGAATCAATAACTAGTGACGTTGAACAATCGGCAGCCTGCCGACGGCTCTCCTCCGGGAGAAGTTTGTCGAGAGTACGAACAGTCGGGATCGCCGCCATGACAGTATACGCATCTGAAATTCAATCTGAAAGTCAATAACAATGACGGCCTTCCTTAAATTGAAGATTCAACAGAAAGGTTCCTCAAAGATACATTTTTTAGACATAGATAGTGAATTCAAGGAAATGTATTTGGTCACCAGTGTGTACAGTACATCAAACTGACACATAGCCTGCTTTACATCCCATCACACTCGAATGATCCTTACTGATATAAACTGGCTGCCTTTTGAACTCTCATTAGAAGAGCCTTTCTGTATTGTAGTAGTGTAGTTGATAGACAGGAGGAGATAAACAGAATATTGCAGATTGCCAGAACTGTAAGATACAGAACAGATATGATAACAGGATTCATTAGAAGCTACAAAATAGGCGCAACAAAGACTCCATGCAATGATATTGGTAAAATCACAAAGTTCACATATCAAAGGCCATCATGAAAGAAATTTCGGACCACAAAAAGTTCAAATTGATTAAGAACTCTGAACCTATATAAGATGTTAAGGAATGACAAGGACAGCATTAATAAAGAAGGAAAAGCATTAATGCAAGGGATGCAGAAGGGCTACCATCTGCGTGGAAGTACTTAGTTAAAAAGGTTTTAAAGAGCTCATAACTTATGCCTTAATTTTTCCATTTTTTACATTTTTTGTATATTATATACAATATTATGACATGATATATAATATTATATCTGTTTGTTGTTTTATTTTATTTTTATATATATGTATAAAAATGAAATAAACAAAATAATTATAACAAGAATCTCTATATATATATATAGATTGTTGTTATAATTCTTTTGTTAATTTTGTATTTGAATTTGTTCCATTGTTATCAGACAAAAAAGTTAAATATTTATAAATTTGATTGAAATTAATTGAATACTTAATATTGGTTTCTCTCTAAAATTATAAATTTTTGCAAATACAGTACATACACTGGTCAAAACATTTGGGGGAGCAAGAGATGTATAGAAAATCATTTCTGAAGAATAAATACAGTAAAATATACAGTAATCTATGAAAAAATATGCATTTGAGCCATTTTTTCATTTATTGCACTTCTTACAATATGCTGATCAAGAATATGCACATTGACATCCAGAACAAATTACTTTTTAAAGATATTGTGCTAATTTAAGTAGGTTGTATGATTTCTGTGAATGACCAAAATTGTTGTACATCTGTGTAGCATGGAATTAATGTTGGAGGAATTCTTTGCCACTTTTTAAAGAGGAAGTCACTTGTTCCTCTGATTGTTTTCACCAGTGTAACATTTTGAGATGATTTTTCAATTTAGTATATAGAAATAAATTTATATTTTTAGCTTAGTATAATCAATCTTATCTTGATAATAATTTTTGTGACATATTTGACAGAAGTATACTACTTCACAACTAACATCCAAATATTTTTTTTTTTTTTTTTTTGTGGTTTTAGTTCCCTTACCGCTCAGAGAGCACAAAGAGGCCAAAACATCCAAATATTATTGAGCTATAACTTTTATATTGGAAAACTAATAATAAATGATTAAATTTTTAACAAAAATTACACTCTCTTCTTTCCTTGGAAAATACTTTCTGGCAATTTGTGTATATATGCTTCAGAACTTTCTACCATTTATCTATATTGTTTAAATGATTTTCTTCTAGTCATATGCTTTGATCCAATTAATTTCAGAGGCTTTTGATGGAATTAATATCTAGCTCTAGAAGAACTACCTTAGATGTTACAATTTCAACAGTAAAATATGTACAGTACTATTCTCAGAATATTATCCTAACATTACTTATCTATTTAGATTTTGGCTATTTATGGTTTATATGACAATTAATGATCCAAAAGTAAACAATCTTGATATTGATACACTACATAAACATTTACGGCAAAATAATGAGTTTTATGACAGCTGTATTAATTAAAACTTTAAGCATTTTTTAAAAGACAAAAATAAAGAATAATACAAGTTTTTCTAAAATAAGCTGGCATTATAAATATGATTAATGATTTTGAACATTATTCCCAGATAATCTTAGATAAATATGGAACAAAGTAATCGAAAGAAAAAACGAAAATTAAAGGAAATTGATGATATTAAAACAAAGAAGAGAAACTTGGAGAAAATGGATATAGATGAACCTGGATTAAAATCAGCAAAAAAATTAAAACTGAACAATGATTCTAAATCAGGAGAATTTCAAGTGAGTATTTGATAGATAAAATTAAGTGTTTAAAATAATAAATTTAGTAACTTGCCACACACTTTTAATTCAAATGTAGCTTGTGTTAGACTTGGATTATATGAATTAAAGGAAAGAATAAAATATTTTGACCATATGTTATGTTTTAAATATTTTAATGGAATATTATACAATTCCTGGATCATCCTGCAAATACCCGATAGGAGAATGCATAATACAACATGATTATACACTCCTTATTAGCCATATCTCGTAGATCGTATTTCTATCATAATGCATTGCATTCTTGTCCAGTGGAACATATCTTGTATTATGATTTTTCACAATATAAAAGAACATGTAAATGTATTTTATATAATTGTCCAGTAATATAATGTGCTTTTTTAAATTTTTTACTTTTTAAATTTATGAATTTTTTTACATGATATATTTTAATTTTACATCATTGATTTTACAATTTTATATTATTTGATACTATTTATTTGTCCTTTTAGATAATATAATTTTGTACTTAACTACATTTTATAATTCATATCTTATTTTTTGTTATATGTATATATGTTAATTTTAATTTTTCTTGGGTTGTTTTATCATATAATGCAGGTGGTTATTGTTATGGGGTGGAAATCAACAATCATAAGACTTTTCCAACTGTATGTAAAATAAATAAATAAATATTAATTTTTAATTTTAGGTAGATGATTTTTCAGGGGATGTAGAACAAAGATCTTCTGGTAAGTTTTAAATCATTATTTATTTTAATTAGTTTTTAAATTATCAATGAATTAATGAATTAGAGAAAAGGTTGAAAATTTAGAAAAGCTTTTAAAACACAGTAAATGTTCAATGACTATGAATAAATATTTACAAAGTGAGGTATTGCTTACTTTGTAAGTGTATATCTCACTTCATAAATATTTATTTTCACATTAGGTGTTTAATTATCAGTGATTATTACTTGTTAGACAGAGTTCTTGAAAACTTTAACAAACATCTTTAAAAATTATATATTGATCTAACGTAAGGTACTTATTGTTAAAGCCCTGCATGGTTCATCATATGGTAGTTCTTCTCAACGGTATGCATCTTGTTGAGGCTATTTGCATGATAGATGAAATTAACACTCATTTAAAAAATCAAAATCACATTTATTTCAATTTTATTAAAATGAAAAATAAAGAAAAGGAAACCTCTTTGAAATAGCAAAATATACCATACTTCAAAAATTCAAATTTAACAAAATGATTTTTCTAGTATAATATAAATAGCATGTAGAATCCAGGACTATTTTTTTTTTATATAAAATAATATTTGTATCTATATTAACATATTTATTGAAAAGTTAAAGAAGCAAACTTCAATGATGAAGTTCATGAGATATTATTTTTGACTTCATTTCTGTCACAAATAATACATTTTTCTTTAAATGTAACTCGTCCAAGGAAGTGTTAAAAATGTCAGATTGTATATACAGTAGACTCCCCCTATAATTACGATTCCTATAAAACTGCGAAAAAATTGCGACGGTATCTGTAAAAACCCGTAAAAAACTCCTATAATTACGTAAAACGTCATCGGGCAGCCAAACTACTTTCCCGCTGTTCGTAGCACCACGCTACGGAGAGATTACTATTGTCTGTACAGTATTATATATAAATTATATATAAATTAGGTACTGTATATATAATTATATATTAACTTATTGTAACTTTATTATAATTAAATATATAATTTCCGCTGTCTAGCGTGGTGCCACTCTATGGAGATTTTACACTAACTATCGTCTGTACAGTATGTAAATTAGGTACCGTAAGTCTAATACAGTACTGTAATTTTATACATTTCTTGTGAAAGAAACATTTCTTATTCAACGGCGATTAAAATTATTTATATTAATGATGTCTCCAAAGTTCTACGAAGTTTTCACAGAAAAATAGGTTGTTAGAAATTGACCGCTATTTGCTGAGCTGTTCCGCGACGAAAACAAGCTTTAGCAATGGGGATGTCTAATAGTGCACACTCGGTAAGTAATCCTACAATTTTTTGTTTATAGCGTAGTTTATACGGATTATTTGCAAAAAAAAATATACGTATTTTGGAAATGTTGAGTCCGATTAGTCTAGAATCGATTAATTTTATGGAAGAAACCTTTCAATCAGCCGTAGTCCGTAAACTTCACACGTGTCGGGCTGTGATTGGAACGACTCATAAGAAATCGGATTCCTAAAAAATGGAACGTATCTATGATCTTATAGGGGGGTCGACTGTACAATGGGTAGGAAGGAACCATACTGAGATGACCAAATTTGATGACGTTTTGGATGAGGAGAGGATATAAAAGAAGTCACTGCCTTGATTATTAAAAGGCTCTTCTCACAAAAATTCCTCCTCAAAAGTTTTCCTCTTCCAAGTTTTCCTGCTGTTTGCACATCAAAGGTTTAGATTTACCATTCAAGCAATGTGAACTGTCATTAAGAATTGCAAGACAATGTACAAGTATTATATTTGACTGACTTAGAAGAAACAATAAGCATTGTTTGATGAGGGACTGCATCACCAAAAAGAGATATTTAGATTGACCTGCAGATTAATTGTGAATGCACTCTCTCCAGATAGATAGATAGATGCAAACATGTATTGATAAATTTGTTAGTTACTTGTTTATGCTTATTATTATACACTTAGTTTAGCTTAAATGTCCTTTATTATTATCCTTGAATTAAATAAATCAATTCCAGTTTGTTCACCTCTCTAATTCCTCCTCTGTTCTCTTACTATGAGTCCTCATATGAAATCATTCATGCTCAGAAAAGGTTTGCTATGAACCAAAAATCACAGGTGGTGTCAAGCATCCTGACTGAAGCTAATTTTTACCTGTCACAAATATACAGAATATAAAAACATACTCTTATTTAGAAAAGCACAGTATTCAAAAATTCAGCCTTAAATATTATTTGACATTTAATGGAATGATTTTTCTAGAAGAGTACAAACAATTAATTTGGTTGTTGTCAACACATTTATATCTTAACTAATATTCCTTGAATTAAAATTCTTAGGAATATAAGTTACATTGGTACTTTTCTTTAGTTGGAAGTCATTTCATTGGCTGCTATTATTTAATAATGATTATAAGTAATCAAAAACTTATTTTCCATTAAAAATGATTTTGATTTTGGTTCAGCATGTATCACTTTAGTTATTTTCTTGATGTTCCAAGTTGAAAAGTGTTTTTTTTTTATTTTTTACTTTAATCCATTTTGAATGAATGAATTTTCCAACTATTCATCCAAATACCAATGTAAGCACCTTCATTTGTTTTTATGCCCACATTTTGGATTTTTTCACTTTAAATTCATTATAATATGTTTTTTGAAACAACATTCAAAATATAACAAATTTGTGCATAATACAAAAAACATTGACATCAGACATGGACAAATGTGGCTCTTTTTGAGTTACATGCGGCTCTTGCTGAAAGTGTTAATTTATGCTTTTTATTATTATTTTTACAATTTTATTTCCACAATTTTGTAAAAATATGTTTATTAAAAAAATTCAATATTTGTTTTATATTATGTAATAAAATCACGGTACAGAATAAAAAAAGTACAGAACTGCGGCTCCCACGCATTTTGCAAAACCTACATTTTGGCTCCCACTGAACTCTTGCTCGCCCATCCCTGGTTTATTTTATCAATTTTTGGAATTTTTCATTCTCCACAAGCTGTCTCAAAGACTCATTTATATTACAGCATATTAAACAGGGCATGATATGTTTGAATTTTGATTGTATAAACAAAAATATATTTAAACAGTATTAAATAAAATTAATCTTAATTTAATCTTTGAATTGTATAAAATGTAATTAATTCACTGTCACCCATTCAAGCTCACCTACATTGCTTCTCTAAGTGGTGTAGAAGAGCACGATATGGTGTATCACATGACCTTGGAAAGCCCATGTGATACACCATGTAGAACTTTACCAGATGGGTACCTAATTTAATTTTATTTTAATATTATTCTCATTTTATGGATGAAATTTTTAAATGTAATCTCCATCAACTTAGACTTAGAAGAATTCTTAATATAATATAATTTTTAAATTTCATACACATCTGGAACACGATGTTGTACAAGGTATCCCTCGTACAACATGGTTTAAGAATTTGAAAAATCCATACAAAATTTCACAAATTTTAAGCGTAAACTCCATTATTCAATATTTTTTAAATTCAAGTAAGCATGCATGTTATCTCAAATTTGCCCATTGAGTTTAGAATATTGAAATTTTCAATTTATTTTGTGCCTTTTGTAAGATTTATTTTTACCTGTCCTGCGTTGTTCCTGAAAATATTCGTGTTGATCTCATTGACCTACATGGGCAATCCCAAATATTTTTGTGTTTACATCGGAACGTTTTTGATACTAGATGTCACTATGTGTAACAATTTTTATATTAAAACAAACTTTTAAAATATAATTTTTTTTTTTTCTATATTATCCAATATATTTGTTTTGTTTGTGCAACGTAAAAAAATAATTTTTAATGATACAGTAAACACGATTATTATTTTTAAAAAAAAAATTTTAGGCTTAACATCAATGAAAATTCAACATGGCGTCACAGGCAACAGATAAAAATTTCAGCATCGAATAGGTTAATGAAAACTAATGGTACAATTTTTTTCTCCTTTGTCCTACCTTTCCTATCAACCAGGTGTCCTTGTCATTGCTTTCAGACTTTAGCCTTTAAGGCTGTCATTATGTTTTGCTTTTATAGATTAATCTTTGTGTTTAGTAAAATTTATTTAATCTATTTAAAATCAATGAGACTTTTGCTTGTCTCATGACATGCCTGCACTCTTATCTTTTCTTTAATAAAACAAAGAATTAATCTCTTCGTAGACTGTATATTGTAATAATTACACTACTCATACACCTTATATAATACAGCCAAATTTATTATAACACTTCAAACGTTTTCGGACATCTTTAATGCCCTTTTTCAAGAACGAACCAACGAAAATCGAATCTTGGCGAATTCATAAAAACGATAAATGCGTTTTGGAACGCTATTTAAACAAACTCTTATTGCGCAGAATCGTGCCGTTTGTTTACCGTTAAAAATAAAGAATACTAACAATAACCACTAATATGATACATCAACCATACATATATGAACCTAACATAAATAAAGACAACAATGCTAAATATAACCATAAAATCACTAATAATAATGCACGTGTAGCCCGATTGCACCTTTCCTATGCATGCTTTTCCAAAATTCGTCTTGCTATTTCTATTATTTCGCTCCGTTATATTAAGCTCGATCTCCATGCTTCCGATATTTTACTTGCTTCTCTAAAGTTAATTGCTTGTCCTTCTTGACTATTTTTACAAATATGCCACGCCTCTGCGTATTTGAGATGCCTTTTGTCGTGAATTTTTTGTACTAACTTTGCCTTATCCCACTCTGCTTTAACTTCTGTAGGGTCTGCTAGGATGTATGTCGCTAGCGCTGTGACTGGCTGCTCATTTCGTATGTTTCGTTTGTGCTCTATCATTCTTTCTTTGAGCGATCTCCCTGTAGCTCCAATGTAAAACAGCTCTTTCTGTCGCCTTTTATCTGTTATTGGAACACTGTATACTCCGGGCAGAAGGTTTCCGTCTACCTCGTCTTTGTCTGTTCTTAACATTTGGTAAACTGTTGGATTTCTTTTGTAAATTATTTTCTTTTTTGTTGCTGCTCCTATTCTTTTGTATATATTATTTAACTGCGCCCTGTACTCCATCATCGTATACTCTTCCCTTTTATTTCTTAGATTGAGCTCGTTGCTGCCTGTTTTTGTTTTGTTGGTTATAGCCTTAATGTTAACCCCAAACTGCCTTGCTAGCTTTTTTATATATTGCATCTCTTCATTTCTATCTTGCCTTTTGCTACAGTGCGAGTGCGCTCTTGCTATGAGCGCCCTGAAAGCTGCAAGTTTATAGGTTGCTGGGTCGTGAGAATTCCAGGGAATAAATAATGGGTTATATGTAGGCTTTCTGTACACCTTTGTAGTTATATCCCCTTTATCTATTTGTAATGATAAATCCAGAAAATGTATAATTTTATCATTTTCTTGTTCCAGCTCAATCTCTAGGCCAAAATTGTTGTCGTTGATGTCTTTTATAAATTGCTGTAGTATTGGTTTTGCTTTCCATATGATAAGCACGTCGTCGACATACCGAGCATATAATACGATTTGCATTCCATATTTTGGTATGATGTTGTTCTCTAATGTTCTTAAAACCATTTCACATAGCGTACCTGCTATTGGGCTTCCCATTGCTACACCTTTCTGCTGCGCATATGTGACTCCTTTGAAGTTAAATATCGACGAATATGTGGTTAGATGCGTCAGCTCTAGTATCTGTTTTCTCTTCTTTTCTGTATTTTTGATTTTGTTTAACAAGAAATCTCTTAAGTGGCAAAAACAAGGCTCTAGTTTAATGGATGGATATAACGCTTTAAAATCCAATACTGTCATATAACTTACTTCTTGTGGTTTTATAGTTTTCAATTTATGGAGCAGCTCTAGAGGATTTTTTATGCTGTAATTGTGCGTGGGCAAGTGCGTGTTAATAAAGCCTTTAAGTAATCTTTCCAATATTATTGTAGGTGAATCTCCTTTATCTACGACTGGCCTAATACTTTTTCCGATTTTATGCGTCTTAGCAAATCCGAAGAGTCTCGGCATGGATGGGGAGGTGACTACTATTTTCGTCATACCCAGCTCTTTTGCAAGTGGTGTTTTAGCGAATTGCTTGATTCTTGTTTGCAGTCTCTCCAAAGCACGTGGGTGCGCAGTAATACATTTTGTTTCATTTATGTATTTCAGCAACAGTTCATCATATGTATTTCTTTTCATGATTACTACATCCTTTGATTTGTCGGCTCTTGTAAGTACTAAGTTATTATCTTTCAGCCATTGTTTGCTTTTTTTGATATTCATCCATGTTTGATTGCTGTCTCGTTTCTTATTTATATGCTTTATTTTAAGAGCAATCTCCCATCTAAACATTTCCTTCTTTATCTCACTTAGCCCTTCTATTGCTTGCTCAACGTCCGGCACGATCTTTTCGTGTGTGAGTTTGGGTTGCGGGACGTATTTAGGGCCAAATTTGCAAGCTTCCTTAACATATGTTGGAGGTATGATGCCATCCCAGGATATAATTGTTGTGTTGACTTGCGGTCTTACTCTATCTTTCTGATGTTTTTTAATCCATTCCATTTTTTTCTTATACTTTTTCCGCATTCTTTCTGTAATTTGATTGGCTAGTTTTATTACACGGTTGTTAGCTTCCTCTAATATGTGTGGCCCTGATTCATATAACTCGTTTTCTAGATCTACTAGCTTTTTTAGCAGGTAATACCTTCTGCGTCGTGTGGAGCGGATGGCTTTTCTTAAGCATACTACTCGTAATCTTGGCAGTAGAGAGGCACATCCATGCGGTAACCGTATTCTCCATATTGACATGGGGAACACATTGCATTTTCTGCATTCCATTAAGAAGTCCGTTTTTGCATCGTTTCTACAAATCTTCGTAATTAAAATTCGATACCTTTTGGCCGGCGTTGCCATACTCAATCTCTTCGTAGACTGTATATCGTAATAATTACACTACTCATTACACTAACTACATACTAGAAAACGTTTGAAGTGTTATAATAAATTTGGCTGTATTATATAAGGTGTATGAGTAATGTAATTACAAAGAATTAAATTTCCATAAACACTCATGAGCTTGAATAAGCTCAATCAGTCTTGATTCTATAAAAGCTGCACCAGACTTCTCACTTTTCACCATGATGATGAACTATGTTTAAAGTTGCCACCATAAGATATTGCACAAAGGTGTTTGCAATCAGTGCAAGTAGTACAAACTTTTTGTTTCTAGTTGTGGTTGCAGTCATTCCAGTCTCTGGAAGGGGCTTACTGGTTACAGTTGTCTGTGTGGCTGGAAACAGCTTAAGAGATTCTCAACAACTTTGTCATAAACCAACTGTAACATCAACAGTCCTTAAGTCAACCACTTCTGTATGTAGGATACAGTGTATAGCAGTTTCTGCAGTACAAAATGCACAACTAACCATTCTTATCAGTGAAACACTGATAACTGAATGTTAGTCATGCATTTCCTATTGCCTGGCCATTTCATTTTCCAGGTCTTAGTCTGTGGGATTTTTTTATTGTGGAGACACTTAAAAAGTATGATTTATCAAGGAAATGCTACAAATTTGGCAGCCTTGAATGTCTATCATTATCATAATGCTGTGAGAAATATTACAGAGGATCAGTTAAAGTCAACTATTAGCACCATTGTTCATTGCCTTCAGGTTTTACATCATAAGAATAGAGACAATGTTGATCAGTGTTCCCTATATCACTAAGATCTCTGTATAATATGAAAGTCTTGTACAAATGAAAAGTTTGTTCTTTACAGTGCCAAAAGTGTCATGGTGGTGAGTTTTGGTATTAATTATTTTTTTATGGAAATGTTTTCTGGATGTCCTGAAATGTCACCATATCAAAATTTGTTGTATTTGGACTGCTAATAACTCTCCAGACAGTATCAAATAGGGCTAAATGAACTGCCAAATTATCAGACTATAGTATGGTTATGTAATTAATTAAATACCCCCAAATAATAATTACATAGCCATATTGCAGCTTTATTCATTTAGCTTTAACTATAAATTGGGTTTTTTAGTTGATATATATACAGTAGAGCATTGATTATCCAAATACCTGTCAACCAAAAGCGTTCCAGTCAGCAAATTCAAATTTTCGCTGGTGCTTTGGTGCTGTAACATTCTCCCCCTTCCTGCCAACCTAAACTGTAGGCCTACTTTAATGTACTACTTTATGTAAGATATGTATTTATAAGATGTGTGATACAAAATATGTACAGTACAGTTTTGTGTTTAAAATATTTTTTCGTAAATGATTGGTTATCCAAAAAATCGGTTATCCAAACAACCCCAGTCCCGAATTGTTTCGGATAATCGAAGCTGTACTGTAATTCCTTGCTAATAATTTCAACTAATATTCAGACATCTCCTATAACAGTATATTTTTTCTTTCTTTCTTTCTTTTTTAGAAAAACCTTTAAACATGGCCAAATTACAACTACTGTGTAATCTAGATTTAGACCACTAAGCCTTGTTAGAACAGTTGATCATATATTAGTTCCTGAATTTTTGAGTGTTTTATCTGCAGCCTATAACTTTCCATAAACGGAAACAAATCAAAACCATTTGCAAATCATTCCCAAAACTAGGAGGGACATCATGTTCACTGAATACAAGTAAATATCCAGATTTAATCTTCTGAAACAGATAGAAACTTTCAGCTTGTTTCTGCTTGTCTAGTTATCAAATTGTTCAGTTGTTCTAAAAATCAAACTATCCACATGACCATATTACAAATATATATGTTGCAATGTAACTATTATGAGAACTGGAGGAAATACAGTATTTAATAAAAATTCACACCTTAAAATAGATTTCTGCAACAAATTTTAATGAAATAAGAACTTGTTGCTGGAGTCTATTTTAAGGTGTGAATTTTTATTGACTAATATGTGTCATTTTTTTCTAATTTTAAAAAATTGCAGTATTTTTTAAAAATCAAAAATTATTTTGTTTATGTCAGATTATGCAGGATCTGACATGCCAGTATTTTATTGAAATGAATTAAATTTTATTTTCTATATATTAATATTAAAAATGTAGAAATCAATTTATTAATGTTTGTAAAATTTGTAATAAAATAGTAGTAACTATGGCAATTATCACTTTTAATAATAATTATCATTATTGATACTAGTTACATGTTTTATATCTTTATACACTGCTAAATCATTTAATTTATTAATTAAATTAAAGAGTACTGAAAGTATTTGTTCTTCATTGTAAAATGTACTTTTAAATAATGTTCTGAAAACTGTAACACGTAATAAGTACACCTGTTGATAATTTTCAGATATCAAAAGTTAATCATTTTAGTAAATTACTCTATCAATTTTTTTACTAGTTGATGTGATGAGGTTTCTTAAGGCTCGAAAAAATGAATTGAAATTCCTCACATCAGCAATAGAAACAAAACTTCCAAAAAGAATTATACAGCAATTGCCTCGTCACATGAGACGTAGAGCTGCCAGTCATAATCCTAAAAGACTACCAAGGAGAGTAAGAGAACGAGCTATGAAAGAGGTAAATTATTATTATTGTTATTATTATTATTTTTTTTTAATTTTTCTTATAATATATTAATAATTAAATGATGATTATTATTATTAGTAATAACTTATAACTAATTCTAGGATATGAAAAATCATATATATAGACTGATAAATAGATCATTGATAGTTATAAAAATGATAAGTTTTAATGTGCATGAATTCTGTAAATATTTGATTTTTAGTGCCTGGATGGCCTAGCTTTAATTATTAGCTATCAGATTTTGAACTTGATACACAATAAATACAAAATAGGATATTCTAACTGGAAAATAAGGTCGCTCCACAAACTAATAACAGCAGACTAGACTTGCTAGACCATGAAAGCTGCCAAATCAAAGAATACTAGTCTAAAGAATTTCAATTGTAAGCTCAGAAATATAGTCAGTATTTATTTCTGCATGCATTATGTAAATATATTTCATATGTTAAATGTCTCCTCTATTATTTTGTTATGTTGTTTGTACTTATGATAAATCATAAATTTAACACTAAATGATAAAACTGAAAAAGTACTGAAAGTATTTGTTGTTCATTGTAAAATGTCATATAACCTTAAACAGGGATGCACAACCTTTTCTGAAGAAGGGCCAAATTAGGATTAAGTTTACTGACTGGGGGCCGGACCTCCAAGTGATTAATGCGATGGCTGAGATTGGATGCTGGCGGCAATCTTCTTGATGTCTAGCGTAATGGCAGATGTTGAAACAACCAGCAGATTTTCCAAATTCTCGTTGGTTAACCTGTTCTGTGTTTTGCACTTGTTTAAATTTATAAGCGAAAACGCTTGTTTGCATACATACCATGTTTCCCCGAAAATAAGACCTAGCAGAGGTTTTGCTGAATTGCTAAATATAAGACCTCCCCCCGAAAGTAAGACCTAGTAAAGTGTTTTTTTTTTTACTCGTAACGGTCATCGACAGCAGGTTGAAAGTGGCCGTTGGCTTTTTGAAAGTACAGCCACTGATTGGTCAGCAGACAACACGCCACACGGCATGATTTGCATAAGACTATGGCTTGGAATCACAGATTTGCATAATGTTATGGCTGGTGATCACTAATTGGTCGGCCGGGAATCATGCCACATCATATTTGCATAGTGTTATGGTTCAGTAAGCAGTAATTGGTCATCGAGCTCGATGTAGACGCTATAAAAAGGTTAAGTTGAAGCAAGAGTGGGAAGTCCACTCCAACGGAACTTTGTAAGTTCACTTCGGTTTTATTTAAGTTCAGTTCAACATGACGGGATATACGTCACTCTCGTCTAAGTTCGACTTGGGAATTTTTTTGTTCAATAGTAAATGTGAATTCTTCATGGAAAAATAAGACATCCCNAAAATTAATAATTAATTAATAAAAGTTTTCATCTGTATATGTTGTTATTTGTCTTTAACTTTTTTGACTATAGGATTTTTTATAATTTTTAAAATATTTTTTAGCATTTATATACTCCACTAGTAATATACTGTTATGATCTGTTGCACTTTCAGTAGAAATTTGTTATATAATATATAATCATCAACATAAGAGATATGATTAATTATACTGATTGGCAATTAACATAATATGTGTCTGTTTATTCATCTTTTATTCCTTATTGTGTTAAGTTGCTGACAGTATCCCATTTGTTAGTCAACGATATAATATCAAATCCTATCTCATAAATATCAATTTTTAATAATTTATTCAATAATGATAAATAAAGAACATTGTGTGTATGTATAAATATATATATATATATATATATATAATGGACATCTTTTCCATATATATATAATGGA